CGGTATAAACGCCTGGGTGGTATAATCCCCACCTATGGATTATTTGGGTTCCTTATGGATGTAGATCAGGTGCACGAATAAAAATAAAATTATAATAAATTATAAGTAGACAATATAAAAAGAATATAAGGGAAAAAATGGCAATAAAATGTTCTATGCCAAATTAAATTCTTTATTATAAAGTAATTAAAATAATATCTATACGCTTTTCGCCTCAAAAGGCTTCATCAAGTAGATAATCATAAATAGGCTTTTATGATTATCTACTTGATGAAGCCTTTTGAGGCGAAACATGTATAGATATTATTTTTTTTATTGCCATTTTTTCCCTTATATTCTTTTTATATTGTCTACTTATAATTTATTATAATTTTATTTTTATTCGTGCAGGGAAACTGCAGCACCTAAGGCCTAGAGAGGGGTCGGCCTCGGGTGTTATGACTTTGTCCCCTCATATGTCCATCTCCAGACCGTTTATTACGGTTTCTCTTTTGGTCAATAAAACCACTATAACAACCAAAGCCCTGATCGATTCAGGTGCGGCAGACAACCTTATGGATGAGACCTTTGCCAAAACCGCAGCCCTGAATTTGATCCGAAAGGAGACACCCTTGGCCGTTGAGGCCATAGATGGTAGACCACTGGAGAAACCTCTGGTGACTCATGAAACCCAGGAAATAGTTATGTCTGTGGGTGTTTTGCACAAGGAGAAGTTAACCTTCCAAATAATTGACTCCCCTACAGCCTCCATCGTTCTGGGTTTTCCCTGGTTAGTTAAACACAACCCTGTTCTTGATTGGGGTTGTTTAGATATACTCTCCTGGGGGGAATCTTGTCAACGAGACTGTATGGCTCATGTATGTCCTGTTTGTTTACTTAACGTGCCCACGGCTAAACCACTCTCGGTTTCTGTCCCTTCTGTTTATGCAGACCTTGCCTTGGTTTTTGAAAAGAGGGAGGCAGATAAGCTACCTCCACATCGTGAGTATGATTGTGCCATAAACCTCTTACCGGGTACTATGCCTCCTAGGGGAAGGTCTACCCTCTTTCTGAAAAAGAGAACCAGATCATGGAGGAGTACATACGGGAATCCCTAAGAAAAGGTTTTATTAGAAGGTCCTCCTCTCCTGCTGGTGCTGGTTTCTTTTTTGTGGCAAAGAAGGAGGGCGATTTGAGGCCATGTATAGACTACAGGGGTCTAAACAATATAACGGTTAAAAACGCCTACCCTATCCCCCTCATCACTGAGTTGTTTGATCGTGTTAAAGGTTCTAAATTCTTCACCAAATTAGACCTCAGGGGGCTTATAACCTTGTCCGTATAAAGGAGAATGACGAGTGGAAGACAGCGTTCAACACACGCAGTGGGCATTACGAATATCTGGTCATGCCTTTTGGACTGTGTAATGCTCCTGCCGTGTTTCAGGACCTCATAAATGATGTCCTTAGGGATCTATTGCATGTCTGTGCTGTGGTGTACCTTGACGACATACTTGTGTATTCTCCTGATTTGAAGTCACACCATAACCATGTTAGGATGGTGCTCAAAAGGCTATTGCAGAACGGACTCTACTGTAAGTTAGAAAAATGTTTATTCGATCAGACCTCTGTGCAATTCCTAGGATATATCATTACTGAACAGGGTTTCAGTATGGATCCTGCTAAATTGGAAGCTATACTGTCCTGGCCACTTCCCCAAGGACTGAAGGTATAACGAAGCTGACTAAAAAAGGTCTACACCCTAGGGTTTGGACTCCTGAAGCCCTTAAGGCCTTCGAAACCCTCAAGAAGGCATTTGCCTCTGCTCCAGTGCTGCACCACCCTGATCCTTCTCTTCCCTTTGTTATGGAAGTAGACGCTTCAGAGTCAGGTGTGGGAGCCATACTGTCACAGAGGTTGTCGTATGACAAACCCCTCCATCCCTGTTGTTATTTTTCTGAAAGGTTGTCTGATTCAGAGAAGAATTACGATGTTGGGAACAGGGAACTATTAGCTATTGTGTTAGCTTTTAAGGAATGGAGGTACTTATTAGAGGGTTCTAGACACAAAATTATGGTTATAACTGATCATAAGAACCTATCCTATATAGCTGATGCTAGAAGTTTATCTGCCCGGCAGGCTAGATGGTCTCTATTTCTCTCACGCTTCCAATATGTTATTACCTATAGACCTGGTTGCCGTAATGCCAAAGCTGACGCTATCTCTCGGCAGCATGAACCAGTAGAATTTGTTAACCCGACTCCTGAACCTATTGTACCTGCGTCTCAGATAATAGCTGCTACCCGTTTGGTTGTTTCTTCACCTTTCCTTGATACTATTAAGACATACCAAACCCAGGCACCCCCTGAGACGCCGGTTGGTAAACTATACGTTGAAGCAAATGACAGAAAAAAGTTGTTAACTTTATTTCACACAGCCAAAACTGCTGGTCATCCGGGGGTTACCAAAACCTACAAGGGCCTCCTTCAACAGTTCTGGTGGCCTTCACTCAAGTGAGATGTAGTGGATTTTGTTCAGGCTTGTCAGGTCTGCACACAGTGTAAGTCCCTTAATGTGAGACCCCAGGGTTTTCTGATGCCTCTATCTATACCCAAGAAACCATGGACCCACTTATCCATGGATTTCATTGTAGACCTGCCTCTTTCTGATGGTCAGACGGTGATACTGACTGTGACAGATAGGTTCTCTAAACTATTCCGCTTAAGAAACTGCCTTCTGCGGTTCAGTTAGCTCAGGTGTTTGCCAAAGAAGTGTTCCGATTGCATGGGGTACCTCAGGATATCGTATCTGACAGGGGCCCTCAATTTGTCTCTCGGTTCTGGAGGGGCTTTTGTGCTGAGATGGGGGTCTCCTTGTCGTTCTCTTCCTCCTATCACCCGCAATCTAATGGTGCGGCCGAACGTGCTAATCAGTCTGTGGAATTGTATTTGCGCTGCTTCACTAATGCGCACCAGGATGACTGGTCTCGCCTTCTTCCGTGGGCTGAATTTGCCAGGAATACAGTGTCTCATTCGTCTACTGGCTTAAGTCCTTTTGAGGTTGCTTATGGGTTTCGTCCTTCTGTCCTTCCCGGTGCGTTCTCCGACAAGGGAATGCCCGCCTTGGACCAGCACCTCGCCTCTTTGCGGAAGACGTGGGATCAGGTCCATGTTGCGCTGTCTCGTTCAGCAGCTGCTCAGAAAAAGTTTGCTGATCGCCGTAGGGTTGCGGCCCCTTCTTATGTTCCGGGTGATAGGGTATGGTTGTCCTCCAGGAACCTCCGTCTCAAGGTTCCCTCGATGAAATTTGCCCCCAGGTTTCTTGGTCCCTTCAAGGTGTTACGTAGGGTTAACCCCGTTTCCTACTCCCTTGATCTGCCTCCTTCCATGCGTGTCCCGAACACGTTTCACGTCTCGCTTTTGAAGCCCTTGCTGTGTAACCGGTTCTCTCGTCCCCTCGGGCGGCCCGTTTCCCCTCGCGCTGTCTCTGACGACGTGTACGAGGTGGCTGCCCTTCTCGACTCTCGTGTTTCTAGGGGTCGGCTGCAATATTTGGTGGACTGGAAGGGGTACGGCCCTGAGGAGCGGTCCTGGGTTTCGAGCTCTGATGTGCACGCTCCCTCTTTGGTCCGCTCCTTTCATGCCCGCTTTCCTTTGAAGCCTTCCGCTTCCCGCCCTCTGGGCGGTCTTCGAGGGGGGGGTAATGTCGGGATCCCGCGGGCGGCTGCGAGGGGAGGCTGCACTCCGCTCGCAGTACTCACCCTCCAGCCGTCCGCGGTCCCCTCCTCCTCGTGGGTACGGCGAGCGGCATCCTTCCAGCCTCGGATGCCGCCCGCCGTTCCCTCCACGTCCCCCAGCGGCAGCATGCATGACGCTGCACGCTGGGAGACCACCCAGGTTTATACACGCCGGGGTCAGTCACCTGACCCGGCATTAAAGGCACAGTGCCTTAATCACAGTGGGAGGTCTAGATATCTCCCACGTGTGATTGTTAATTCTGATTGGAAATTATCCAATCAGAATTAACCTTATGGTTTAAATACTTACCTTTCCTGTTCCTCCCTGCCCTGTTGTGGTCTTTGCTTGCTAGTATTGCTACTTACCTTGTGTTTCTGGTTACGTACTCTCTGGCTTGTTTATCTGACTCTGTGACTTTCTCCTACCCTTTGACCTCGGCTTGTTTCACGTTATTCTGTCTTCTGGTTCCCCTTACTCGGCTTGTCTCCTAACTATTCTGTGTGTGCCTAGCCCGGCCACTCTAAGGTCCGGTACGGCACCTTTTGTGTGTGTGTGTGTGTGTCAGCGTGTTGGGTTCCCCGAATCGTGACACACAGAGAGCACTATATTTTTATTCTCTCATTTTGGGTTGAATAATATTCACTCAAACACGGAATTTGGGCCAGAAACTCTCCAATCAAACACTACTCTACATATCCTTGAGTGGGGATTGTTCCACTTCACGTGCTGAATACCAGAGCTGGGATCTAGCTCTGGAGAGTGAGAGTACGGCTATTTTCATTAAATTAGAATTTTATTTTCGCTGACATACTATACCATTGGAGTTCCTGTTTCTGTTTCCCTTCCATATACTCCTCATTGGATCCAAGTATATCACTGTGAAGATTCCACACTGTGAAGATCTCCTGTCTTCTTAATATATCTCACCATTACGGACTCTTGATAAGTGTTTTTGGACTATTATTTTATATTATTTTATATTTATTATTATCATTTTATCATTTTATATTTGCTTATTTTATCATATATTGTGTATATGTTTTACCATATATTTTAGGCGCACCCTTATCTCTTCTTTTTATTTATTTTACCTTTATATTTAGGGGATTATAGGGGATTCCCCTCTTAGAGGTGCTGCCTTTTTATTTATTTGTGTGGCAGTAGTGCGCTGATGTTTTCTTTTTTCGTATGGGTATAGTGTAATCGTGAAACTGTAACCTAAGAACCCGTGTACGATGAGGGACCTGAACGTTGGTCCGTAAGTAGAGACAAGCCCTCTGGGATCCCCTGTTTGGGGAATTTACATGATACGAAGGAAAAGTGAGGCCTTAAGGAGAAACGTAATCGTAGTGAGTAAGATTTAACAATACCTGAGACTGAAATGCAGGGAACCAGGTAGTCTTGTTGGTGGTTGATGCCATGTAACTTGGCAAAACTGCGGTAATGACACGGGTCTGAGTGAAGAAATGTAGAAACAATAGACAAGAAATGTACCGTTAAATAAGTAGTAGCAAGGTGGTGTAGGTTTGTGTGATTGATGTTTTAATCGCAGTAAGGAATCTCAGACCTGGCCCGTTTGAAGTTTTTAACCCACTTGGGAGGTGGGGAGGCTGAATGAGGCCGTGGAGGCTGAATGAGGCCTCGAGGGAAAAAGAGAACTGGTAAACCTTCTTACCTGATACGGTAATACAGGATACTGGGATACCACTTACATATAAAATGTAAGTTACTTAGCCAGTCAGTGTAATGACAGGAATGAATAAGTAGATAGCTCCCTAATACCGTGGGAATTAGGGAGTTATCTACTAAAAGGCTGAAAGACCTGAATTGGTCTTTCAGACAAATTTACTAATACTAAGTAAAGATTACTTAGTATTAGTAGAAATCTTTACTAAGTAAAGATTACTTAGTATTAGTAAATTATGCCCCTACTCGCTATACTGCAAGTAGGTGCATGTCTATATCTAGACAAATGGAGGTCATTTAGTTGCTCCAATGGCCATTGGAGGGAATGCCCGCCTGCCAATGTCAAGGCAGACCCCCCTAAGCGGGTCCTAACTCTGACCCTTCAGCCTGCTTCCTTGAGCATCTAGCAAAGCCAGACCTCCATTTGTCTAGATATACATAGGGATTAAGGTGAGAGCGCAGGTAACCTTTTCTTTTCTTTGTTTTTTACTATATATTGGGGCTGATGTGTACTGTAGTCATTGCTGCCGGCCCAGTAGTGATGGGAGTGAGCGCAGGACTTATCTTTTTGTATTTACTTTTTTATCACACAGCCTTGTTACAATGCCGCCGCCCATCCCATGTGTTCCCTATAAAGGGTTAATAAGTATAGAGGGCTGTATATAAAAAATACCCCTCTATGTCTCATTAGAGATATCTTTGCCAGAAGCTCAAGGAAGCAGGCTGAAGGGTCAGTGTTAGGACCCACTTAGGGGGGTCTGCCTTGACGTTGGCAGGCGGGCATTCCCTCCAATGGCCATTGGAGCAACTTAATGACCTCCATTTGTCTAGATATACATAGGGATTAAGGAGAGAGCGCAGCTAACTTTTTTCCTTTCCTTTACTATATATTGGGGCTGATGTGTACTGTAATCATTGCTGCTGGCCCAGCAGTGATGAGAGTGAGCGCAGGACTTCTCTTTTTGTATTAGTTGCGAAGAAGAATAATACATTAGGGAAAGTACAATAGACTAAGTCCCAGCAGGGTTAGAAAATAATGCCTGAAGGTGTATTTTTAATTAACATAACTTATAAAGTGGAAGTGGCCAACTGCGCCTTTGAGAAGATTACCCTGGGAAGGATAGGTGTCCCATAATTATGTGACCATGGACGTGAAATTTAGTGAAACACATATTTTTTAACTAGTGGTGACTTTAAGAGCCATATAGTAAAAAACAAATTCATATAGGATAAATAATGTGAGTGCTTGGTTTAAGTGAATGGCATAACTAGGCACATTTACAGTAGATTTGTGAATTTAAACACTGTAGCCTCTTGCGTTCGGTTAAACGAATGAACAGGAGAACCGTAAAGAGAAAGAACTCCTGCGTTCGGTTAAATGGAGCATACGAACAGATTTAAACGAAAGCCAATTGTACATGTGGTCGGCTGAACGAACGAACGGATTAAATAGTCGAATGTAAGTTAGTTCAGTGCGGTCGACAGTTATCTTATACGAAAATACAAACGAAAGGAGTGTGTACTTTGTGGTCGGCTGTTAGCCGCACGAACGCAGAAGTACACGAACAGTGTAAGAGCACGAATGGATAAGTAATGAAGGGAGTCTATCCCCGCAGTTTTAGGCCCAAACGTGGGAAATAGCTGTACACCATTTCCCACATTTATGCTTACGTGGATGTGCCGGTCTCATGACTGGAAGCCAAGTTAGCAAGTAGCGAAGTCGGGTAGAAGCTGGAGGACGGGCACGGAAGACGGAGGCAGTAGCAGTAGTAAAAAGGGGGCGGTAGGGTTTAAATAGAATCATAACTCCTCCCACAAATTCAGGCCAAATGGCCTTACAACATATATAAAAACACATAACATAACACAGGGCACATGTGCAGCCATTGCCGTGCTGCGCCAAGAATACTTCTTATATTATTATTAGAGTTAGTGGTAGGAGGTTCTAGGTAAGGAAGAGTTATAGTTAGTGATATGGGTATTTAAAGGGAAACTCCGGTGCCAGGAAAACAATCAGTTTTCCTGGCACTGCAGGTCCCCTCTTCCTCCCACCTCCCTGGTAGCTGAAGGGATGAAAACCCTTTCAGGTCACTTACCTGAGACCCCGCCGCCCCTCCTCCCAGTCTTTACATTTGCCGGTGGGCGAGACTGATCCCGCCCACCGGCCGGGGAGAACTAATGCGCATGCGCATTAGAGCTCCCCATAGGAAAGCATTGAAAATGCTTTTCAGTGCTTTCCTATGGGGAATTGAGCGACACTGTAGGTCCTCATAGAGCAGGAAGTTCCCTCTAGTAGACAGCCACTAGAGGTGGAGTTAACCCTGCAAGGTAATTATTGCAGTTTATGAAAAACTACAATAATTACACCTGCAGGGTTAAGAATAGTGGGAGTTGGTCTAGCATTGTCTTGCATTAGGAGGAACCCAGGGCTAACCGCACCAGCATAAGGGGTCTGAGGATCTCATCTTGGTACCTAATGGCAGTCAGGCTACCTCTGGCGAGCACATGGAGGGTTGTGCGGCCCCCCAAAGAAATGCCACCCCACACCATTACTGATGCACTGCCAAACCGGTCATGCTGGAGGATGTTGCAGGCAGCAGAACTTTCTCCACGGTGTCTCCAGACTCTGTCACATCTGTCACATGTGCTCAGGGTGCCAGTGGTGAATTTGCCAATCTCTGGCAAATGCCAAACGTCCTGCACGGTGTTGGGCTGTAAGCACAACCCCCACATATGGATGTCGGGCCCTCATACCACCCTCATGGAGTCTGTTTCTGACTGGTTGAGCAGACACATGCACATTTGTGGCCTTCTGGAGGTCATTTTGCAGGGCTCTGGCAGTGCTCCTCCTGTTCCTCCTTGCACAAAGGCGGAGGTAGCGGTCCTGCTGCTGGGCTGTTGCCCTCCTACGGCCTCCTCCACGTCTCCTGATGTACTGGCCTGTCTCCTGGCCAGTACATCAGGAGACCTGCTCTGAGGAATAATCCTCATAGCAAAATTCAAGGAGCCCAACAGTGATTGTAGTTCTTTGCGACTACATGGACCTAGCTGTATGTACAAGTCTATGTGAGATAAAATACGGTCAATCTTGCCTCTGGGTAGGCTGAATTCCATGGCCACTTAGTCTAGCTAGATACCCAAAACGTTGATTATACCATTTGGGCCTTCTGTCTTTGATGGGGTAACAAAGTCAAAGGAGTGCTGCACACAAGGAAGTTTACGTGGGAGCTCTGTGGAAGGGTATATGACTAAGGTCTCTAGGCCGAAACGGTGTATCTCTTTTTGATCTCCAATAAATATTTTTTCCCTTCACCTAAGTTGTGACACCTGTGAAACTATTTTTTTGATGGGGATACTGGGAAATCTAGATGGTCATTTGGCATTATAGTTTCTTGCAGACTACATGGAGGGTTGGTATTGCTTTCAATAGTAAGGAAGTCATCCAAGTAGTAAATGACTGAGGGGCATCTATATGCATTAAGCAAAAACCAGCACAAGGTTTCTTTCAACCAAATGTAAGCCGTGAAAAAAAATAATATAGACCACTCCACTTAACGCCACCTACATGCCAGAGTGATGGATGTATGGGAAGTAGTGTGAACACATTGTCAGTTTTACTGAGCCAGGCGCCTACGCTGGTTGTGATGGTAGCATTGATGGCATTGTCTGTGGTCATGTATTGAAGTTAGAATTTGTCAGAGGGGATCAGGGAATTTTCAACTGGGAACTGCGGTGGAGCGAGGAGCAGTGTCTCCAGTAACTATTCTGATTGGATTTGTTCACCAAGATGAGAAAAGGGGAGACTGAAAAGGACCCAGGAGAAAACCTTGTTCCAATTCCTGCTGTAACAGGGTGCCGACTAGACATGTGCATTCTTTTTCGAACGAATACGTCCGACTTTTCGGAAAGTCCTAAATACGAATTATATACGAAATGAAAGTGCAAATGCCAAATGCATTATCTTTTCATTTCAGTTCGTTTAGTTTATTACAATGAGGGAGCTACCGGCTCTCGGCTCCCTCCTTGTAATATGTAAAAATAGAAGCTGCTCCCTGCCACTTCCTAACTCCCCCAATTCACCCCCGTCATTCTATGAGGGTCAATATGACTCCCATATTAGCATAAGGGAGAGTAAAATCTCTCGAATGCCCCTACTCGCTATGCTGTAAGTAGGGGCATGTCTGCTCAACTGTGAGCAGCCAGTGGGTGGGGGTGGGGACCTGGGGGGTTATTAGGTCCCCATTATTAATTTAATTAAGGTCCCCGCCGACAGTCATTAGGTGTCCCTCCCCTTTATTAAATTATTTAAGGTCCCCACCCGCTGGTCATGGGTGGGGACCTGGAGGGGAACGTTAGGTGTCCACGACCCGCCTCTCATGGGTGGGGACCCCTTTAATTAATTATGGCCCCTACCCATGGGTGGAGGTACGGGGGGGGCACTATTCCCCCCCCCCCCCAAATTTGGTTATTTGAGTTCCCCATCATGGGGAAATGGGGGAACCTTTGCCAGGTCCCCCCTTATTGCAAAAAAAGGCAGACCAAAATGTTCTCACAATAAAGTTAGAACAAGGTCCCTGGATATAAATCAGTATCTTATATAGAATTGATAGAGAGCTACGGTAAGAGTACATGTAACCAATAGTTATTGCAAAAACAATAACAATATTGCAATATAAAAAAGTAGCTATTTACTGATCTAAATAGCTACTTTTTCATATTGCAACATTGTTTACGTTTTTGATATAACTATTGGTTACACGTACTCTTATCGTAGCTCTCTATTACTTCTATAGAAGATACTGATTTATATCCAGGGACCTTGTTCTCACTTTACTGTAAAAACATTTTCTTTTCATCCCCCTTATTGCACTAGGAACTGGG